TAAAATAGTATAAAAAGTTAATTTAGATTATTTTTTATTTAATATAAAAAAATTATAAAGATTGGTTAAAATTTGAATGATTTTTATTAGAAGCATTAATTTTAAAATTTTGAATCATAATTAATCTAACAATATAGAAAATCATATTTTATAATTATTTTACTTTTATAGAGATATGACTATATATATATATATATATTGAATTTGATTATATGCTGTTTTGATATAGTTAATATCATAAAGATAGAATTTGATATAATGTATAAAATGAGAAAAAATTGTCAAAATTGCCTGATAATTTAGATATATCTTCTTTATAGCCTGTAAATCAAATTTACTCGAATATTTTACAAAATTATTATTAATTATATTTATTATTACACTTTTTCTCAATAAAATTTGTTGTAAAAAAAAGTCAGGTCTAACAAGATTGAGTTTATATTATTGAAAATAATATTAAATTTTATTATAGATGAAGTTGCTTATCAAAAAATATATATTTGCTAATTCTTTTCATTCTTTATCAAATAAATGGTATGCAAATTTAAAACTTCCGAATCTTTATGACGCCAACTGTATTTTGATTAATTGTCCAAGTTTAACAATTTAAATTTATCAAGACTTTTAGAATATAGAAAAAAAATTGCTAAACTACATATAGTGTGTGTGTGTGTGTTTATATATGGTAAGTTAACATAATAAAAATTGTAATTTAATTATTTTTTATTTACCTTTGCCAGCACAACAATTTCAGTTACAAGATGATGTTTATTATTACATATAAACACAGTAAGCGAAAAAACTAGATTTTTAACGTATTATTTAATAAATCAATTTTGGAAATATTATTAGAACAGTTTTTAGAACATTTGATCTTAAATTCTTATGCACTTTAACTGTATCATAAAAGACATTATTCATAAGGGTGAAAATGCAAAGTGTCGACGTGATATCTTATTTTTATATACATATTATTATAAGTTATGAGCGCAGATTTATTATCTTTGTCTTTAATGCTTTAAAGTAGAACTCTGTAATAAGCCTTATCCTCACATGTTGACGTAAAAAGCAGTTATAATCGCAAACTATGAAATTAATTGTATTGTTCAGCTAATATTATTGCGACTAACGTTTAACTAATGCAAGTAAAAGGAAACTTGTTTCATTACAATAAACAAAGAAGCAGGATATTAATTTCCGTCATTTATGATTTGCTAATTTGAGACATTATGCCATTGTTCTAAATTTGTCATTGTTCTAAATCAAAGATAAATTTTCGTAAAGCCGAACTTTAAATTTCACATCCTTTGTTTAGTTAAGGTTCCTATCTAAGCAAAAAGAACTTTATGACTTTTTGCAGTCTAGCGTTTTAAATTCTATCAACTTGTGTTTTGTGCAACTCTGAAATTCTTTATCCCAATATGCATGTAATTCTTATATAAAGGAACCATCGATCATTTCATTACAACCCAGGTTTTTCCTCACAATTCACAATTCCACACCCAAGTACAATTCCACACTCAACTCCATACTCAAGTAGAAAAGATAGCTGGATTTACTATCTACATTATTGAATCACATACAAATTATATATATTTCTAAAAATATCAATTTCGATCCTTTTGTCAAATCAAATTTTCACATTTTCATTTACTCACATTATCGATAGTAATTCAAAATGCCAGGAAAAATTATCAACCCTCAATCCGTCAGTTACAATAGCTTTGCAGATTTTAAATCAACAAATAAAGGCACGTTGAACGAATTAGCCATCAATTTCCTCAAACAGATCAATAAAGGCACACAATACGCAGAAATAATTGACGACATAAAGAACTACCTCGAGCAGCAAAATCTCCAATTATCCGAGTTACTTGAGCAATTACAAAAAGGCAAAAGACAATACAAATGTCTACTTGGTTTCTGCTACGAACGAATCCCGGAATGTCAGGATCCTGCGAAAGCATTCACAGCATATAATGATGCATCACAAAGTAATTTCCCGTTCGGATATTTGTTCCTTGCTGCGTGTTACGAAAACGGAATTGGCGTGCGAAGATCGTTTGCAAAAGCTTTTAAAAACTACAAGAAAGCCGAAGAATATAATAATTTGCAATGCACATGTATTCAATATCGACTTGGAAGATGCTATGAACGTGGAATTGGTACGTCCGTAAATATGGATACGGCTTTCGATTGGTACATGAAAGCTGCGACATCTGGAAACACTGGCGCTCAAAATAAACTTGGGTACTGGTATGAAGAAGGCATACACGTGAAAAAAGATCCAAAGAAAGCCTTCACCTATTATTATGAAGCAGCAAAAGGTGGTTTTGTTTGCGCCCAGTACAATACAGCCGAATGTCTTCGACTAGGAATCGGCACTACAAAAGGAGCACTACGCGCGTTTTATTGGTATCAAAGAGCTGCCGAAAACGGTGATCCGAATTCTCAGTATTGGCTAGCGTATCATTATCATTATGGTATCGCCACTGCGGAAAATAATGAATTGGCTTTAAAATGGTATTTAAAAGCCGCAGAAGCAGCAACAGTTACCATTGAAGTGGCAAGGGTTTATTATTCCCTCGGCTGTATTTATGATTATCGTCAACTTGGCGTGAAACGAGATGACAAAAAAGCCTTTGGATGGTATAAAAAAGCATCGAATGCTGGTGTGATTGAAGCTACTAAACGATTAGCTAAATTTTATCAAAATGGATTTGGCACTGATGTTGATATTGATAAAGCTTACGCAATGACCTTGATTGCTAAAGAACATTATAAAGAAGATTCTCAAAATGAATATCGATATGAATAGATCTATTTTGTACAAATCTTTGTTTTTTTGAAATTTGGGTCTTTATTGTTTTCTGTAAATAAATAAATGTACATGTAATGTACTAACGCAAATTGATGTATGCAGGATCATAAGCAAACATCTACTTACACAAATAAACAATAAACATTGGACACAAAATTAATTTAGAAAAAACACGGCAATTTCGGAATTCATTATTTACTCACGCTCCTTCTCGTAATTCCTTGCTTTTGTCGGTTGTTACTGTTATATTTTGTGACAAATAGATAATAAAGTCACGCGTTTCTAAAAAGACTCGCTCATCATTTTGGTGCGTAAAATGCTGAAATTCTCGTTGGATAAAAGAAACATTTATGGTCAGCGTTTACATTTAAACGAGCGATTTCTTGCCTACTTGTTCGCTGCTTTATTATTGCTCTACTCATAATTATCTTTAATATAGCTTTTATCAAGGCACTTAAAACTATAATCAAGTTTAGCGGTGATATCGTCATATATGGTGATACCGAAGGCGTAAGTTCAAAGGTTTTTTTCTGTATTGTTTACATGCCTCATATTCTAAAAGTAAATATTTTAACTTTAAATATCTTTTCAAATAAAAAGTTAGTCTTTTTGTCCCTGGGAGTTCAAGGGACGGCTTATTTGCAATTAATCTTTCCGAATCAATTCTTTGAGCGGATAGTAATATGCGGACGCGATCAGACAACAACTTACAAAAAGAGCAATGATTTGAGAACATACGCAAGAAAACGTGAAATTACTCTTGATTCCCCTGATGCGGTCGCAGTAAAGATTGTATCGCAGAATTTGAAAAATGCAATATTTCCCCCAGCATACATTAACTCATACGAATGGGAAGTGAATTCCGGTGCGCTTATAGGATCTTTCAAAACGCCACCGAATTTGCTTGTTGCTACTTGTGTCTTGAACAGCGGTATGTTATTATTGAATTATATTTTTAAGCGAAAAACCATCCAACCTTTCTAACTCGATTTATTTACCTAGGGCATGTAAAGACTGATCGGATTAGATGCACCGATGCAGATATAAAACTTCCACAGTTACAGATCTCTCACGAGTATCACATTCAAATGTTTTCTCGTACGCTTCATAACATACTGAAACCATTTGATACCGGAAAGAAAAACGAATTCGGATCGAAGGTGACGTTATGGGCCAAAGAAGGAGAGTCGCGTCGTCGACTATACATTCAGACTGACTATGAAGCAATACCTGGTCATGATGGAACCATAGTGTCGAAAGAGATACCTGATAATCTCGTGTTAATTCATAATCTAGATCAGTGGGTATATGTGAATTTCGATGTTGCAGAATACAAGGTATCTTTGAATTTTTTGTTTCGCTTGGATTATCTCTTTATTAATCATTGATTGATAATCTTTTTATATAACAGACGATTATATCTCTGTTCAAAGGAATACATAAGCATAAAAAATTACAACCAACAAGCAACTCAGATGATGATGATACAAGAATAGAGACGAATTTTCAATTAAAAAATTCAAGGTAAAGATGATTTTTTTCTGAATTTATATGAATACAAAATCTAATTTATTATTACTAAATTACCTAATAACAGTATTAACCCGGTTATGGAAATATCTGGTATTGAAACTGCATGCCCAATTCGAATAATGGGATATCTAAGAGCTACTGCGAAATTTGTTAACCCTATGCGGCCAGAACCTGTGATTCAAAATGCGCCTATAAAAACCTTCACTTCCTCATTATCATATTCGCCTTCCTCTTCAAGTAATAATATCGCTCCATTAACTCCTCAACATCCTCGAGGATCATTCGAATACAAAGAAGAAGGATTTATTACTCCACTTCATCGCACAAGCGCGCATCAAGGTATGATTACCCCAGAAGTTACACCACACAGATTGCAACGTGAGAACACGGTCGAAGTGTTAGATGATGCAATTTCACAGGTGTCGCTTGACGAACAAAATGATTTAGACGAAAACGAAAATATTGATTTCTGTCATCCTCATAAAAAGCCTCGCCCTCTTATTGACTTTCCGAAATATGAAGAGAAGGCTGATGAAACGGATCTTACGGCTCGATACTTTAAGTTGAAGAAAAGTCAAACGAGGGTTGATCAATAATCTAATTATCGAGATTTTCTTTCGATTGTAAATTTATACTTTGCAAGAAGATTGATGAGTTAGTTTATTATTCATTTTTGATTAATCAATGTGTAAATAACATTACTATAAATAAAGATGTATTTTCGTATTTTTGTGGGACAGAGAAATAAATCTGTAATAATATATAGAGAAATGATCATGGTTTTTGCTTCAAATAATTTAATTATATGCAAACGATAACCGTTCAATCATTGACGAACATAATTAATGACCTTTACATAATTATTCAAAACGAGAAAAATCGGGAATCACCGGTATTAGGTATCCATTATATCGACTAGGAACTGGAGCAAAACTAGTCCAACATTTCAGCTCTGCTTGACGTAAACGGAACTCGGCGTGATGCCTTAAAGTATCTTCAGCGATTTTCTGTTTTTTTTTTAATAAACATAGATAATTAAAATACTATTAATAGTATGAGCCTTATAATCTTATAAAGATAGTTACCTCAGCATCTTTATTATATTGTGTTTGTTGCTGTTGCTGTTGCTGTTGATGTTCTAGATCATGTTCTTGTTCTGGTGGTAATTGTTGCTGATGATGTTGCTGTATTGTCGGTTGACTATTTAAAGAGCCAAAAGGATTTGAACTGAAATCCTGTCTAAGTAAAATAGGGTTAATTTTTGAAATTGAAATCCTATCAAAAAAAAATAATTAAGATTGAATATAATAAATTTACCTTGGTGTAGAGACGGGACTATCACTTAGATGAAAATGTTGTTGATGCATGTAACCTCCTCGTCCATCAATCATTCCTGGCATAGTATTTTTATGATTTGAAGGTGTAAGTAAATTGTAATTATTATTGATGATACATGGTTTTGTCCAATATTATCAACATTAGCATCGCCACCCATTAAATCCAGTAGCACGGCCACTTTTTCAATGATCAAAATCTATCATCACCATCTTTTTTCCATTAATAAAGATGGGTACAGAGGTAATTGATAGTTAGACTTGTATTTATTCCAGATTTAGGATTCCTATTATATCACAACGCCTCTCGCTAAACTAATATTATTTATTTACCAGTGGCAGCACCACGTTGATGCGTATGTTGATCCATTAACATCCCTCTATTACTGCCCGAGGAGGAAACATTTCCGATTCCACCAGAGCTATCACGAAAATTTAGAGAGTTCATTCGAAATAGTGGTGGAGCAGGAGACTGCGAATATCTTAGTACAGACGTTGAGTTGCTCCTTTGCGCTAGAGGTCTTTGCGGTGGCTGTTGTTGTGTATAGACATTATCTTGGGATGAATTATTGTTTGATGATGATGACTGCGAATTGAGAATACTTTGTCGTTGCATTTTTTGTAGTTATGTTGTTGTAGATTCCGACAAAGGGAACATATTAAGGTAATTCATGAAAACACTGGAAATTCCGATCCTCTTATTTATATTTTTTATTTTCTAAGCCACCTTGGTATATCAATTAGATCATATGATAAGTTCATTTATCATCAATATGTCTCTCTCTGATGTTTGGGCATCCGATGAAGAGGAAAATATTACAACTTATGATAAAAAAATTGCAGAACGTGAATGGGGGCGCATGAATGAAATATATGGAAATGTGAATTGACCACTGATTTATGTAATTTAATCGTTTGATTAAATAGTAATAAATGTTGTTATCTCTCTCTCTCTCTCACACACAATTAAGGTTGGCTATAAAGATGGTATAGAGGAAGGCAAAGAAAATACACTCCAGCGTGGATTTGATGATGGATATGTAGAAGGCGCTCGTTTTGGCATAGAATTTGGCCGATTACGTGGAGTGTGCAGGTACGGCGAAGAGAAACATATGTCTGGTATAATTTTAATTAATATCTATCTGTAATAGTACTATATTGGAGTCCATTTCACGGGATATCGATGTAGATCAAGGTTGCACAACGAGTAATAATCTTGATCATTCCCTAATTGCACAATTGAGAACTTTGATGAATGATTTGGCCAAATTGACATATGACGATGTATTTACCAAAGATTATTTTTTGTCGAATTATATGGAGAATACAAGGGTGTTAAAAGATGGTGATGACAAACTTACAAATGTGCATAATGTTCAAGGGAGCTTAACAACAAAATGCTCTTGTAAACATCTCGATGATCAACAACAAAAACAGCAAGAAGATAATAATTTGGTTGGATGTTGTCAAGGGAATCAGGAAAAATGTGATAAATCAACTGGTATTGATAATCTTGATGATAACATGTCTAATTTAAGACTTGAATTATTACCAGATCGCGATACCTTACCGATTATAAATAGACCAGCTGAAAAGCTATTGTTGGAGTATCGTGATAAAGTCTCTGAAATTTTAAAAAAGCTTGGATTTGATGTTGATTTTTTTCTTGGAAGATAAAAAACTTTATTATTATAGAAATAATTTATATACAAATATCTTCAATAATTTGGGAATGTGTAACATTAATTGAATATATGCCCGCAAAATATAATTATAAATAAAAAGTATTTCATATGGAAATCACAAATATGAATTAAATTTCTTGAATTCCCATACCCACTTATAAATAAAAGCTCACTTAAGAAGCCAATTATTTAATAACACTTGAAGATTATCATTTTCAAAGTTATTTCGGGGATGGCAATCATGCATTACAAGAAAGGAGCGAGTGCACGCAGTGCATTATATATCTATATTTGGAATATTTATATTAATTTACGTAACAATATTATATAAAAATGATTTAACTTTATATAATAATATACAAACCCTTCTTGCTAGTCTGCCAACATTTCCATCGGTAGCTACCACTTCCCATGCAAAATCCACGCCGAAAATCATCTTAATTCCGTATACAATACGTTTGGCATGTTCCTCTTTCATTAATAGATAATCGTCACTTGTCGTGTGTGGTATTAAAGAAGGATCCGAGTCGAGCGCTTTTCGAACTAAATCAAGAATTGATTGTTCTATGGTGGGAAGATCTTTTGGGTGCTTTGGTGTATTTACTATTGTGATATGATTCATAGATAGATAAATAGCTTAGATTAATATGTATAAAAGAAAAACTTGAAATTAGCAACGTTTACCTATAATTTCGAATGGCTGGGACACGGCCATTACCGTGTGTTTATCATCATGATGATATCTGAATTCATAAGTTCCAATTTCCCAAGGTAACAAATCTCCACGGAAGCATAGTTCACCGGTTTTCACTTCTTCCACATCATCCTTATTAAAAGTCGCGTCCTCATCCTCTTCCAGAGTGACATATAAATATCGACCATTACTTGATATACTGGTATACAATTTTGATGAGTTGGCTGTAACCTTATATACACCTATCCAATCTCGACGAGAATGATTCTGTGGTGCTATCCATTTTATCATGATGGGTGATCCAAGTTCATAAGATAGAGAATTTGACGATGAATTTGATTTTTTATTATTAGCATCTATTCCATTAATAAGAGGTGAGGAAGGCGGCGTTAAAAGTTTATCAGACTTCATTTGAGTTGTATTAGGCACCATGCTAGTAGTATTACTTGTAGACGATGGTGGAATAAGAGATATTGAATATCGAGTAAGGTCATAATTCTCAACATCATCAGCTACGCGACTATGCAGATTAAAAAATTTAATGTTAGATAAATAAAATGAAAAGTCCCAACCATAAAAAAATCAAATTACCTATACAGTAATTTATCCCTTGAATTTTGAAACAAATTTCTTGTTTCGAGTACGACTTCCTGCACTAATTCTCCAACAACTTCTGCCGTGTCTTCAACAACCTTCTCCACTGTCTCAGCGACTTCTTTCACGACCCGTTCAACGACTTGAATCTCGGGTACACCTCGGATCTTCGAAACTTTACCTGGTATGATGGTCTTGACACGTTTGATCGTTTTTGTGACGCCAGCCTCTTTTCGTATTTTATCCCCATATAATCTCTTCATGTGTGGACTTTCCACATATCGTAAAAATAGTACGTTTGAGATTTGAGAGAACAAGCATAATCCGAATATTAACCAGCTGTTGGCGATCAATGTGATACCCCAAAACGCGGCATGTCCCATAATTTTTTCCGGGTTATTAAGAAACCGATAGATTCCCGTGTAATAAAGAGTCGTGGGATATTCATCAATGAAAAAATCTCCATAAAACCATCCGAAATCTCCCAACACTTCAAATACGGAAACAGATGTCCAAATGTGTAATACGATAAGTAATACACCGAGTACGTGACGTAACAGCACCAACCCGTATGTCCAATTATCAGGAAGATGATACATATACCATGCGGCCAAAAAGAAGGTCACATATGTCATACATAATGAGAGATTGTAGATGCTATATAATGTTGAAAAAGATTAGTAGCTGAAAAAAGATCAAGAAAAAAAAAGGAATTTTTACCTTTTCCAATTCGAAAATGCATCACCAACACTTCCACCGTATTTAATATAATGCTTGGTCAATGCTTTTTCCTTACTCTGTAAGGATAAAGCGGCACCTAATCCATAGGTATGAAAGATGCGCCAGGCTAAGCATTGCATGATTACGAAAATTTTAACAGCATTTTCCGAAGCACCAGCGATGAATAATGGTACAAACACCGAGTAAAAGATAATAAAAACTAAGAATAGGTCCGTCGTACGAAGTAGATCAAAATTCTTAAAGACTATCAAATCACGTCGAAAATGCGAACTGAATGCATTCGATAGATCGGGAAGAGTTGGCTGAATTCCCGCTGTTGTGGATAAGAACCCTGATTCGGAAGTCTGTGAAGATTGATCTATTGAAGGGCTGATTGGTTGTGTGTGTTTGGCGTTGAGCGGTCGTGGAGGATTATAAGTCTTATCAATATCTTTATGTTTAATTATTAATCATTAATGACTGATTTGATGTTTTAAAAATCATGCGGATAATAATATCAGTAAATAAATGATTTGTTACTCACGAGGATTTTCTACATACGTCAAGAAAGCAAACTGAGCAGCATGTGCAGCCAAACTAACAAACAATACAGTGTAACTCGCCATCATCAACGAGATTCCATAGTAGCCCACATAACCGACAGAATACATAGGATGAGGCGCCATTTCAAACACACCATCAAACGTCAGGGATTGATCGACGAGAAAGAAAAAGTCGCCCCAATCTTGTGTTGATAATGAGGATATGTAGTGCAAAAAGATCATCTCGTGAATAAAAGATGGAATCATTAAGATACAGAAAAAAATTAAAATAATTACACCAAGCAAAATCCTTGACAACTCGATGAGCATCAGCTTTAACCCAAATATTGAACCAGAACAAGAATAATCCACCAGCCCATCGTGACACGTTAAGAATGAAACCAGAATTTTCCGGAATACTGAAATTTGCCATAGCAAAACACATGTACGAGGCGAAATCATTCAATAGAATCAGATCAACTAGCTCCCGGAAAAGAAGCCAACTGTTAAATTCAATAGGAACTGCCTATGCGGATTTCAGATAAATAAATAATCAAATAATTAGATCATTCATTAAAAGGTTTAATGATAGACTAACGTATTAAAAGATAAATACATCAAAATCATAATCGTTGCCCATTTTCGCACTCAATTCTCGTTTCAAGAATGTGTACACATTTCCACCTTTCTCTTTATCAAAAACCTTTTTGCGTTTCGCCCAAATCACAAGCATGCGTCGTTCACTCTGATATTTCAATAATAATCCCAATCCGAGGTTATAAGCTCCACGCCAAAAAACGAACAAAAATAAAAAGATCCACGGTCGAATGTGCGACGGCAAAACAAAAAATAACAAGATTTGTAATGCCATCACGAATATCGTTAGATAGTCAAACGTGGATTTTCGTACGCTTGGTTGAAAAACAGCGGTTAACATATCAGTGGTATACGGTACTTGGAACACTATATATATAAAAAAATAGACCAATCCAAAGATAATAAGTCACCAAGAATATTTTGATCCTTGTAAATTTTCATTAATCAATTTTCATTATTTGCCATTTATTAATGTTTGATACCTTTGCCATTAGGAGTTTTACCAAACACAATTTCGTTTGGTCTTGTCTTATTATTGTTGTTATTGCTATTATCATTATATGTTTTTTCAGACGAGGGACTTGAAACGATACTATTATTAACTTTCTCACTATCCGCGATTTTATTTTCCTCCGGGACTTCCGAATGTTCGTCTTTACACACAGGACGTTGACGCAATTCGGACTCCCTTGCCATAATGTTGTCTGACATGTCTAGAAATACTAATGATTGATAATATAAAAGGTCGCCTGTTGAAGACAACCACTATTCAAGTTTCAAAGCTTATCTAATATTACTAGACTTAGTCCAACTGTTGAAGTTGGTTTAATTTCACCCAAAAGTGAAAACTCGAAGCTCTCGAGGGAGGATTTTTTATATTTTTTTGCCATTTAATAATAGTCTCATGATTAAATCAAATCTTTGTGTGATTACAAGAAATTACCTTTTTTTTTTTGTTTGCATCAACAAAGAATGCCCAACCAGATAAGGAAATCAAAAAAATTTGACTTCTATTCTTTCAAGTGTTGTCACGCGCAAATAAGGAAATCCCAACCAATCATCAGTCTCCACGAACTTTCCCATTTAGCATCGAGTGAACGTGAATATCCAAAAACGCATACAATGCCTGCCTTTTTCATCATTGAAGGATTTAGAAGATTTGGGTGGAATATTCTAGTTTTGACAAAGAAATGACTTCAACTTTAGTAACACCTGGCCAGCGTATTGGCTCAGCACAAGAGTTTAAAGCTGGACCAGGGACATACACTCGCGGAAACTTTATACATGCTAGTTTATTTGGACAAAAAACTTTGGCGCAGCCTCAAGCTTCGGAGGAGGGGCAGGTGTGAAAAGGTTTTTCGTGTTACTTTTCAACTGAGCAAGTAGCAAATTTAATCTCATAATACTATGCTTTTCTTTTAAAGCTGCCAACTTTATCCGTAGTAAGAGAGAAGCAACGATGGGCCGTTCCGCAAGTTGACAGTATTGTATGTCTTTTATTATCTTTTCCCGTAATTCGACATTTAATTGATTTCAAAAAAGATAACAGGAAAAGTCATAAGAATAACAACAAAAGAAGCCGTTGTTTCAATAATGGTGGTTGGTAATTCTCCATGTAGAGAGGATTTTCAGGGAATAATTAGGTTTATTTTATTTTTCTTTAATTTTAATTTCCTGATTTTTTTTTCATCTATCTAAATATTGCACATAATTATTTCAAGAACTCAAGATGTTCGCGCTACCGAAAAAGATAAAGTCAAGATCTACAACTCATTTCGGCCTGGTGACATTATAAGAGCTGAAGTTGTTTGTATTGTTTTTTTTTGTATTGATTTTTAATTTGAAATCGAAAATTAAGGGGTATGTCTAACATTTCTGTCTAAAGATTTCATTAGGAGATGCGCGATCCTACTATCTATCGACCGCAAAAAACGAGTTAGGGGTGATTTATGCTCAAAGTGTTGCAGGTAAGTTTTCTTTTTTTTCATCATTTTTATGTCACCTTTTGCTGATAATTGTTGAGTTTAGGTGAAGCCATGATACCCATATCTTGGAAAGAAATGCAGTGTCCAAAAACCAAGGCAATAGAACTTCGAAAATGCGCGAAGCCTCTTTCATAAAATGGTTTATCTTGAATTTGAGTTTTTAATAGGATCATGTACATACCTGTTTTACTGTATAACATATTACTTGCTAACTATAATAAATTTGCATTCTGGTTTATCTATTCACTGTCCATTTATCTATTCTTACACGAAGTATTGTAGCACGCTATCAATAAATAATATAGTTTACATCTATCTATCTATCTATCTAACTATCTGTCTACCTATCTCAAAAGTTCAATGTTCCAAAAAAATTGTTCAAACTTATTGCTGCTGTTGTTGAGAATTATTCATAACCATTGTATTGATCAAAGTTTGAATGATGCACAATTGGTCAGCTGGAAGCGTCGAAGCTTGATTCAACAATTCAGTCAAATTGGGATTAAATTGTGGTGAGGAAGAAAATTGTGACATTTCTTGTGAACATGATGATTCTGGTTGTGGTGGCGGAGGATTTGATGCTTGATTCAAATCACTAGCGCTCGGTACCACTGCTTCCGAAGATTGAGAAATAATAATGTTGTTGTTGTTGTTGTTGTTGTTGTTGATACTAGAAGTTGCCGAATATGAAGATGAGAAATAATCCAACTCCTGAGAGAGAAGGACTTGCATCATCTCAAACTCTGAACGTTGTGTATCTCTCAGACTCTGATTCCGTTGTTTGTACATATCAGACCAATCATCCATACTAAGAAAGATGTCTCTTTCAATTACTTCTTCAACCATATTCGCGATAGTATCTTTGACTTTTACAGTGTCTTTAAAGTCATTATTACATAATAAATCCTGAACTCTGCTCTCGATTTTGAGCTTGTCCACCGTTGATGAATATTGTCGAGTCAATGGCTCATCTCGTTTGAATTCTTGTTGTAATTCTGAAAGTTCAAGTAGGTGACGATTTTGTAGCCTCTGAAGATGTTTTTGGTGGTTGCTTTTAAGGTAGTGATGTAAATGTTTTGCGTAGGTTTGGCTATCAGTTTTAAGGAGACTTTCTAGTTGATTGCGATTTTTTTCGTTTTCTTGAATCGACTCGGTTAATTCATGAAACAAAGTTTCCATCTTGTTTTCTATGGTCAAAGATTCAAAAAAAATCCAATTTATAGGTTGGATCATTTGATCATCAATCACTGACACGTACTTAAACGCGTCCTTAATATATTCACGATCAAAGATACTTGTATTTAGCTAAATCTCGTATTCTCACGTTTTATATTTGACTTTTTTATTATTTAACGTTAAATATTTTAAAATTAATTAAATCCCAATATATTAAAATAAAGATCAGATCGTAATAAAATTTTATGTAGCCTTTTATGCTCAGAGATATTTAGTCATAGTGAAATCGTAAAAAATCTGGTGCAAGTTCTTGCGAATACGTGTACAGTATCCACGAATATTATTTTATCAGTATTGATCCTCTATAATTTTGGATTGACTTTTTTTCGACGACATAAAATTTGATTAAATGGTAATATCACAACATCTAGTTTGTCTCAAGATGCTTACAACTACTGATTCCATTAAATTGATTCGCGCGATTTTAAATAAAAGTTATGCCATGTAGAAATATTTTGCCAAATGCTCTACTTGAATTCAGAGATTCGAATTCCATCTATGACTATGTAAATTATCAATTGCAAAGTTGAATTGATAAATGAGTGGTTTTTTGCAAAGTCAACCAGCATGAATAAAACAATGCGAGTCGGAAATGTAGTGTCGCGGCATCCACAAAAAAATAATACATGTACATGTACATATACATGAACCAATCTTTATGTAAACACGTACATGTATCTTCGACAAGTATTCCATATGGAAACATCGGATCAATTTCTGTGATTCAGAACAAAGTCACCACAGAATGTTACATTTTTTTCCTTAATAAGATCCATAATAAATCGTATGATAAATATGATTCGTTGGTTTGGCCAACGATCATTGTTCGAACCTTCATCAAATACACAGAAATCGTATAGGTCTTTACAGAATTCACGCAGTATCACCTACAGAATTCACTTTATATACAATACCAATACTCGGTCTTGATCAAAAACACGTCTTCCTAAACATATACCAAAATCTGTATATAATATGCCTACCGTCTCCGAGTTTCAATTCGAATTTTATAACGATATCGTGAAACTTTTGAGGGATAGCGACACGCACGATTCAGTCATTCGTGTTGGTAAAGAGAAGAGAGAATTTCGCGCCCACCGAGTTATTTTATGTGCTCGTTCAAGTTATTTTCGCACTGTACTTTCTCCACAGTGGGTAAAAAAACAAAATGGCGAATTCATATTGGCAATACCCAATATTTTGCCGGACATTTTCGAGATTATTTTAGAGTATGTATTGAAATATTAATCTGGAATTTTAGCATTTATTTTGATTCTAATTTTTATCCTTTCAGTTTCTTATATAGTGGCAGTATAAATTTAGAAGTGCATGAAGATGCGGATATTCTAAAATTGTTAGTTGCCGCCGATGAATTACGATTAGATAATTTAGCGACCTATATACAGATGTATTTGATCAAAAAGAGGACCCAATTGATACGTAATGATCCAGTACAAATTTTAAAAATCTTTCTTCAACATCCAAAATTCACCAACTTACATGATTTCTGTCTTGAAACCATCCGTGAGAGTCCCAAGTTACTCTTTGCATCTGACAATTTTTTTTCATTGGATGAAACTCACTTTGAATTGATATTGGAACGTGGCAATTTATTAATTGAAGAAATAGAAATTTGGGATAATCTTGTCAAATGGGGAATAGCACAACACCCTAACTTGTCTAATGATGTTTCGCAATGGTCATCGTATGATTTTAGAAATATCGCAACAACGTTACAAAAATTTCTTCCCCTAATTAATTGGTCTCAAATTGCATCACGCGAGTTTCAACAAAAAGTTATGCCATATAAGGATATTTTGCCTCGCATGCTCTACGAAAATATTATTAATCATTATTTAAATCCGGATATTCCGGTGCGTGTAAGCTTACCTGCCCGAAGTTCAAACCCATCCACTCGACTTAATCGAAATTTTACGTTACCTAGTCGAAATTCATCTTTAAGACCAACCAGATTTGATTCTACCATCGTTAATTCCAAAATTGCTGCCGTGATTGCAGGTTGGATTGACAATCAAGAGTATAATGAAAGACAAAATCCTTACAAATTTAAGCTTTTATTCCGTGCAAGCAAAGACGGTTTCTATAATGGTGTCTTTCATCAGAAATGTGATGCTAAAGGAGCAACAGTCGTTTTTGCTAAGCTCAACGCCAGAGAGATGATATTTGGAGGCTATAATCCAAGCGACTGGACTAGCATTGGAATTTGGCAATATTGCAATGAATCTTTCTTATTCTCATTTCAAAATTCTCAGAACATTTCTTCGGCACAAGTTGGTCGTATTAACCTTCCTAATCATGCAACCTATAATGACATAAACTATGGTCCATCTTTTGGCGGCAGTTATGATTTTTACATCAAAGGTAACAACTGGGGCAGCGACTCAACTGAGCATTATCCAGGTGTTACTTTCCACAATATCCGTAGTGGACATTTGCAAGAGTATGAAGTTTATCAGGTTTCAAGAAAGAAAATATTTTAAAAGTAATATATATATATATATATATTAGAAAAAATTGTCATGGGAAAACGTTGATCAACTTGATTTCCGTTATTGATTATTTTGTAAATAAAATCAATTTCATATTTACGAGCTAATTTTTATTTAACATTGCCCTTGCACTTTATATCTTGAGAACTCAACGCAAGAGCAGTCACTATAACTTACTAATACCTACATAAATTCCTTGATTCCTTATTCATTCAATCAGCCTCTATTTTAAAGAAATTTTTAAAACCATAATTCTTCAAGTTCTCTTGTTCCTTTTCTCGTTTCTTATGTAATAGGTCCCAATCTTATTTAAGGTGAAATATGTTTTCGAAATAATGAAAAAATATGCTTCATGTATTATTTTACATTTTACATTCAAATATTTTGTCTGGTATGTAATGTGCGAGGTTGTACGTAAAAATGACATGAAAGTCAAATTGACTTTATTGAATTCCTAATAAAAGCAAATGTCTTATGTGTGTTAAATATGATGAAAAGCACACATTATTACATTCATTAAAACCCCCCCCCCCCCAATTAACAAAAATGAATTTTGTATAGCCAATTTATGGTGTATCGCTAAAAAGATTGATATATATAAGTTACTAACACAGGCAAAATATACCCGTTGAAAAAATCATAACCGGGCAACTAGTTCAACATGGTGAGATTTGTTCAAAGGTTAGTCCGAAAATGTGGAAATCACATACAGTCCCCGGCGAAAGTAGTGACGCGTAACGTTTTTATCTATATTTTAATAATGAAGTATCCAAAACTTATGAAAGATTGTAGATATATTCTTTAGGATATTACGAACAAGATTCTCTAATAGCACAAGGCATGTTAGCTTAATAAAATTTTGCGAAATTTTGCGTCAAATGTGTTGGATTAGGTATCTACACAAAATAACTTTGAAAAAAAAATTATTTAAAAATATTTTTAATAAGTAAT